TAACAATCTATGTTCTGCTGCTGAGACATAAAGTTTTTTTTAAAAAATAGCCTGGTGTTGTATGTCAACTGTGTTCATACATACATGTGTGTGTTTTTCTAACTATCGAAACTTGTAGTATCAGTTTATATGTTAAGCCCATATACTCTATTCTAGTTGCTGGCCAAGCCAATTCGCCTATCCATTATGAGTCATATTTTGATCTTGTTAATTATTCGCTTATTAACATTGACTATACTTTTATATGAGCATATATGTGCACACTTCGTATCCTATTCATCATATGTCTGTCATTCACTTTTGCCTGATTATAAATATTGAGTAATGCTTGCTCATATCGAGTTGGCTTCCCAGCCATCTCCAATGCGCATTGTTCTCGCTTCGCTCTCGAGTTGGCTTCCCAGCCATCTCCACTACGCATCATCTTTGCTTCGCTTGCTTACAGTTGCTCATGTGCTTACAACTTTCTGGTCTGCATCGATTATCAATAAAAATGTAGTTGCCGCTTCCCTTTGCCTTCTGATATTATACACCGTTAAGATTGGTATTAATAACGGTTATCGAAGCGAACTGTGATCGAAGCACGGCACTACAAAACTGGTAATCCCGACGTACGAACACGCAACACAATTAGCGATCCCGACTTACGAACGCGAAAACATAATTGGATGTCTCGCCGAACGAACATCGACCAGAATCGACAACCTCGACGTACGAACTCACAACATAATTGGCACGCCGTATTTGGAACACGCGACAGAATCGGCAACCGCAACGAGTGAACACAAATCAAAAATGAAACCGCCGACGACATATTTCGTTGATTCTAATAATCATCATATGCTCATTATTACAATAATGTCATATCATCATCTAATGTGGAATTATTATTTTTGTTCGTATTAACATTAAACTATGACATACGCAGTCATATCACTAATCGAACAAATTATAATGATATGGACATTACACGTTATCATATTCGAAACTCACTGGGTTATTTTTATTATCCAATGACGTACAATTTTCCTGATTCAAGTGAGTTCGTTCCAATTTTTTTTTCATGTCATTTTCGGTCTAAGATAACACTATCATAGACATAAGTTTGGAGTCATACTCCCGATAGTAGGAACTTATGTTCTCGATAGACAACTAATGTTCATTCATTTCATTGGTACGCAGCAACCGTCGTTTCCTACATTTTCAGCGACAATCTAAACCGAACTTCCGCAATTTTTGTTTCACGATGATCCCTACTTTAATGTTTATACACAAATCGAGTATTCGACGCCGCATTACCAGCCGATTAGTAATGATTATGTTCATATTATTTATTCATTCACATGTATATCTGAATGCTGCATCATCCATTACCGATAATCACAATTCGATTACTGCAATTAATATTTTATTTCCATTGTACTGTACACCAGAACATAGAGTTTAGAGCTAGTCTCTCAAAGTTACACTCTTGTTCGTCACATTCAAGTCAGTCTCACTCGCTGATATCGATAATCATATGTATTGGTATTTTTATAATGCCTTAATACGGTTTCGTAACAAATGAGGTTGAGCGCATATCCCTCTAACTACACAAACCACGATAGGCTTCATGACCAAAAAGGAATACGACTCCGCATATCTCGTCTCAGCAGTCACTATCCTGTTCCTTTGGTCATTCTACTAATACATATTTAACGATAACTCGACGCAAACGGTAACATACGCTGACTTCGCATTTTATTATCATTATCAGTAGCAGTACAGCAATGAATATCAACCGCTGATGCAGTCATCATCGTAAGGCTGGATTATTTTTTATCCCACGTAAACTCCAATCGTGTAAATTCGAATCTACTAATCGCTGATCGATGCTATTTACTCTACTGCGGCTTATCAGAACATATTTCACTGTTCTTTATCGTCATATTCAGTCGGCACCATAGACAAATTTCTATTATATTCTACATTATTATTTCCACGATTTATTCCGCTGTCATACCTATTAACGATTTATTACTCTATTTTTACGATATTTCGAATCGATCATACGAACCTGTTATTTAATCATTCAGACAATCACGACATATATGCATGTTAAATTTTTTTCGTACGCTTACTAATGTACTCATAATCACATGCTAACATTTCAATTTTTGTCCGCATCTTGACAATATTCATGTACATTTCTACATAAGTATGACTTTTTCGCTTAATACGCTCACTCCTCACATAACACTGTAATTTATCAGGTATTGTACCATTTTTCCCCACATTTTGACGTTATCCTCATACCGCTTCAGTGTTATTTTTCGAAAACAGACATTTTTTATAAATGTGCTATTTTCTACAAGGGGGCTATGTAGTATCAGTTTATATGTTAAGCCCATATACTTTATTCTAGTTGCTGGCCAAGCCAATTCGCCTATCCATTATGAGTCATATTTTGATCTTGTTAATTATTCGCTTATTAACATTGACTATACTTTTATATGAGCATATATGTGCACACTTCGTATCCTATTCATCATATGTCTGTCATTCACTTTTGCCTGATTATAAATATTGAGTAATGCTTGCTCATATCGAGTTGGCTTCCCAGCCATCTCCAATGCGCATTGTTCTCGCTTCGCTCTCGAGTTGGCTTCCCAGCCATCTCCACTACGCATCATCTTTGCTTCGCTTGCTTACAGTTGCTCATGTGCTTACAACTTTCTGGTCTGCATCGATTATCAATAAAAATGTAGTTGCCGCTTCCCTTTGCCTTCTGATATTATACACCGTTAAGATTGGTATTAATAACGGTTATCGAAGCGAACTGTGATCGAAGCACGGCACTACAAACTGTAACTATAGTGCTTTTAATAGCCAGTTCGAATATTTAAACAATTGTGATGATTAAATTAATGTAAAAGCAGACTTGCAACTAACTTAACAGCCTCTAAATTTATTGATAAGAGCAAAACTGATGGATTTTTTTATTTCGAGTTTTTTTTCAGCCACCCAAGTATCATATTATGGATGAAATAAATGTGTCTATTGTTATTATTATATTTATTTATTTAAACACATAAATATTGGTACAAGGAAGCACCAGATACATATGCGCCATACAAATCTCATTCGATTTGCTTGAGGGCTGTGATACTGCCCAGGTGCCCGAACTGAAGCAGGTGGTTTTCTTAGGGAGCCCACACCCGGAGCCTTTGACCTAAAGGTCTGATCCACAAGGCAGTGGAACATCGTGAGGAGATGCAGTCCCATGGTAGCCGGCGACCAACGATTGATTCGTATGCCATTTGTTCCCTCAGGATACTGGAGCCCATGTGCACCATTGGTTTGGAATCAGGGTTTTCCAACTCCCCTAGGTGGACTCGCCTTGTCCACCAACCCGGTTCTATCCAGTTTCTGTTCATTGTTCTCATATCTATCTCTATTTCTCGGCGTAATGTGTTCTTTGGTCTTCTTCTCTTTTGGCCTTCAGGATTCCATGTGCATGTTCTTCATTACAGTGAAGTAATTAGTTTACATGTTTACTTAAACCTTCTATCTGATAATAGGCTTAATGAATAAAAAAGACACAATTCACAATTATATTTGCAGATTGAGTTTTACTGATTAAATTAGAAGATTTTATTCAACTTTAAACCTCTTGTCTGCAAATTACAGTACTCTCTCAGTTTGGTTCATTCGCCTTCATTCCTATCAGTCAATAGTTATCACTATCGAAAAGTTACTGTATTAAACAACTAATTATCTATTTCTTTATTTAATAAATTTTGATAACTTACCAGAAAATTGTAAAAGTTGTATCCTTAATTAGGTGGTTTGTTCAATTGAAAGATATATTCATTGTGTACTGCTATCATCTGAACAAATACTTCGTCTTTGTTTATGACGCTTTAGTAATGCACACCTAGACCCTAGTGAATTGATTCAGTAATGCATTACCCGAAGTTCTGTAGGGAAGCTGTAACCTATGAAGTCAGGTGTGTTGAAAATGAAGCTGTCATGTATGGTTGGCATTAGAATATAGTCGCCTAGTTTCGTGAAATGACTGAATCTGGAAAACGTAAATCTTTGACTGAATGATACGGAGTTCGCCACCTGAAAATAGTAATCTCACGTTTAATCCTGTGTAGGGTTGTGTGTTATTAAGAATCCACTGGTTATCAACATTTTCCTGACGTATTTCAGTATATGATTGAAGCCGTGTTTCACAATTTTGTCTTAATATCACATTCAGTAATTCAGGGTTTGGGTTGTTATTCAAAAGTAATATCAAGTTTCAATACCTACTTTTAACCGTCATGTAACTTATAAAATTTGTAAAACAATACTACTTACAGTTGATATTGTTTTTTCCACTATCAATTAAAACTTAAGTAACGTGAGAATTTTTCTTTTGGTCACGTTTATTTTAAAAATATATTTCCTTTTTAAATTGCCTATACAAAATTTGTTTCATCTTTCCCCTTACTTATCAGTTAACATCATCTCAACTAGCAAACTCTGTGTTGAATCCAACTACTAGATATTTTTAATAGCCTCTTAATCCAACGGAATAAAACTCGACTGTCTTGGGTTTTTTGACCGTAAACAGTCGTGAAATCAGCGTACTAATGAGAAAATTTCATGTTTTGAAGAAATAATTGGGATAATGAGTCCGTAGGCTTCAATTTAGGAAATTCTCCCTCACAACCCATTTTCAGTTATTTTAACGTTCATTGAGTTCGTAAATCCACTCACTAGTTTATAAAAGTTAAGTCTCAACCATCTAATGCAGATTCTATTCATTCCGAATATGATTAACTCACATGCTAACGTTAAGTACCACAAAATAGATGTGGACCCTTCTGTGTCAAGAATTTCTAAGTCGGATGTTTGAACCCAGACTTTAAAAAATATACGTTGTTTATTTGAAATATCAGTCTTTTCGATTTTTTTTATTATTATTGGTGTTTACGTCATTTATGTCATTACTATTATTTTCTTTGTAGGGTCAAGTAGCTGTGTTTCAAAGTCATCAATTTGTGAAAATGAGTTGACTTCTTCACAAACAAATGTAAACCAATCATCAAATGCTTTTAAACAGGCAGATCAATCACAGTCATTTTATTGTGACATATCTGATTCAAGCTCTGTGACACCTATTTCAAATTCCACATCATCCACTCCATGTTCAATGTCGAAAGGGAGCTTATTGCTTCGATCCCCTCTTACTCTCCCATTAGATAAATCAATCCCATCAGGACGTGTAAACCCGCAACAACAGAATTTGATTATAGATGCATCTGCTGTTGTTGTGTTAGACAAACAACTGTCTAATGTTACACATGATAAACCTCGTTTCGGTCAGAATGTTACATTTAATATACTTAATCCAGATAATGTAACTTGTTATTCTTTACCAAATCGGCATCATTTACCTAATTTATGTATGACCACTGATACTCCCTCAGATGAAAACAGACAAAACGCTAATATTATTGGAACTGATCCTAGTGTTAAGTATTGTAATTATGGTAAAAAGTCTTATGATTATTTTGCTACAGATAGTGTTCTTTTAGTACGATCATCTAGACGACGTAGAATTAGACCTGATTTACAAGTGTTACCGTCAATGAACACTGATTTAAAAAATACCGATCCTTCCTCTCCTAATTCCACTTCAGCCACTGCTGATCCGTCTACTTCTAAATCGAATCCATCAGATTGTTTGAGGCCTGAAAATGACTCCTCACTATCGTCAATTTCTTCATCTACAGCTACTGCGTCTACGGCAACAGTCGGTGTATCACAAATAATGTCTAAGAGTGGTATACCAATGGATTATTATTATTCATCAGGCTATCAGTCACACTCGAGACAATCAAGTCTTGAATCACAACCTGTTGGTTCTAGTCGACCATCATTATCAGCGGAAGTATGTACACAGACTCAGTAACTGTTGGTATTATGTAAGTATTATTTTTACGCTTATATTAATATTAGCTTGTGTATTTGCTTGAAATTTTATCAAGTATACGTATAGAATATTTTATTCGATTATGGATTGATATGAAGCTGTTTTAAATATCTTAATTAAATGATCCCTATCTGTGAGTTTCAAGCTCATTAATTTAATTTGTTGCATACTGGATTCTGACTGTAAACGGAGATTTTTAAAAAAACAACTTTGTTTTACTTAAATGGACTAGATCATACATGTGTTGCTTATTTGCTATCTAAAAATATCGTCATCGTTTTTCTGTGATTCATATATAATCTCGTCGAATCTTATCATGTGAACGTCTTGTATTTTATTGCATTATTTATGGGTGTTGTGTATCATTTTGAATAACCTATGAACCTATGATTACGGTTGATGTTAAACTGTTTTTACAAATCAATGGAAAATTGTATGTAATAAAGCTGGTGTATGTGATGATGGATTGAAGAATTCTACAGGGAACCTTGGATCTTGGTTTCTTTCTGCTTGGGACTCGTCAACAGTATGTACCTGTAATCTTTAGGGGACTGATGCCCCATGGCTGGTTCGATCCAGTGTCATAAACGTTACTAATGAGCTATTCGGATCACGACTGATCTTCTGTAGGACTAAGGTATTTTTACAAATGGTCGGTCACTGAGTAGTGAGCAATGCCATCTATGTCAAGTTCTTAATGATGAAGGCCAATATTTACCAATAAATAATGTCTGTAAACTAAAATGTATTTTTTTTAAGGGTTTTTTGAAACCTAGAGTTAGCGATGAAGATGAGGAATGTATCTTGTTCAAGTTCTTGGTATATCATTATCGTAAGTCATCGGTCCAAGTTGCCATACCTCATTAGCACAACAAGATGAACACCAAATTCATAAAAATAGTTACTTCAATAGTAGTAATATATAAAAGAGAGATCGTGTATAAGGATATAGTACAGGAAGAAAGAATTAGAAAAAAGCTATAAAGTTATTTTAATCTCACCGTTTAAGCGAAGATAAAGAGTGTATAAATCTATACCATTGTGATTGATTCTAAGCCATGTCACTTAGAGCCTCCAATTAATGGTTATGATAGTCTCGCGGACCCCAACCAAGTAGTCTACATCTTTTAACATGGCTCAGGTCAGAAGTTAGTAACTTTATGGACTGATGCCATGTTTTGGTTTGGCCACCCTAACTTTCTTCCACCCATATCTAACACTAATCAGCATTGCGTATCGTGGTAATCGGTGTTCTGGCATACGTAATACATCGCTCAATCACCTCAGCCTATGAAGATTCATTACTACTGAGGAGCAAGCAAATGCGAACTCGTATTAGAGCATGATCAGAGTCTAAACACGAACTCCAGAACGAGCGGCAGCATTGTCTCAAGCTTCTCCAACGATGACTAGTGGCAATATGGTCTTTTGAGTCCATCGTTGGTTTGGTGCAGGGGGTCGCCATGTTAGACGATGTCTATCCTTATGCTTAAAATCAGTGCTTGTTAAAAGTAAACGATTGTCTGAGCACAGTTGCAGCAGACAATTACCATTATCTGTTCGCTTGGCCGGAATACCAAAATACTCACTTGAATGTCCTTCTGTTTGGTTTAAGCTAACTCCTCAAGCATTAAAGTCACCTGCTACAAGTACTATGTCTGTGTGCTTAGCTTTTTGATAAAGTGGACAGCAACAGTCGTAAGTCATGACAAACATAAGACTTTTGGTAAAAGTTTCCCGTCTCTTTTTAAACCTTATGACTAATAATTTATTTTATTGGTTGTTTGAATCCTTACGTTGATGTTTAGGACTGCAATTGATCAGTCATATATTGCTCTGGTGGTTGCAACATTGAGTTACTGAGCCCAGTATTCTTTTTCAAATGTTTAATCTCATAAGAACTAGGAGTCAGAGTTTCAAAAGGTGTAGATTTGTTATATTCATAAGTGAAGATAGTTATTTTTCAAATATTCACCGCAAAAATTCTAAAATAAATAAATATTTATTAAAGTAATAAGATGAGAATAATGATCTAACTTCATTCCGTAAGCTAAAGATTGTGTTTAAGCTGTGATCTAGCGGACAAATCACCGTTCTTTTACAACCTTCGAGTTTCCGTTTTGATCACTGCCTGATCTACTTTAATTTGAGCTGTCAAATAGTATTACTAGGTGTCACTTAAGGTTTTTTACTCAAGACTAATTGCGTGAAACTTTATTTCAATACTGAACTACCATTAATTGTGATTGTACGATCACTATACAAAGGCTATGATATACGTTACCCTTTATATTTTGAATTTTTTTAATGATAGATGTAAATAAATATACCTACTGTTTCTCTTAACAAGTATGCATATTTTTACTAAATCGATACAGGCTTTTAAGTAACATGTATATGTTAACAGACAAGAAAAACTGTTATTCATTATTAATGGTACTAATCATTCATGACCGCCAATCGTCTTGCTTACACCCTTAATTTTTATTGTAGACTAACTTTTTTATGTGTTCTTTCATAAATTACTTAATAAAGCCAATTGTCGATGCTAAACATAATAAAATTACTACTTTTTATAACACTTAGCTACTATCTCAATTGTTTTGTTTCGGTTTTTTCAAACTATCCAACACATTGTAAGCAGAGATGGATAGTGGCTAGCAGTGGAATCCAGGACGCGCGTTTCGTCCTATTTGGGACTCGTCAGCTGGATGTACCTGTATCTCAGAGTTGATGTTCACTATGGGACTCGAACCCAGTACCCTCGCTTCAAACGCCATCGCGTTATCCACTCGGCCACTGAGTCCTGATAGCCACTTGCTTGTGCGATGGGGTGAAGTTTGAATTCACTTAGTATTGTTTGTTTGGATCTTCCCATCGATGTGTTTAGGACTGCAACTGGTCAGTCTCTAATTGGCATATGTGCATACTGTGCGTATTGCCTCGATATACCTTAATTCACAAGCATGGTTAGCAGAGATGGATAGTGGCTAGCAGTGGAATCCAGGACGCGCGTTTCGTCCTATTTGGGACTCGTCAGCTGGATGTACCTGTATCTCAGAGTTGATGTTCACTATGGGACTCGAACCCAGTACCCTCGCTTCAAACGCCATCGCGTTATCCACTCGGCCACTGAGTCCTGATAGCCACTTGCTTGTGCGATGGGGTGAAGTTTGAATTCACTTAGTATTGTTTGTTTGGATCTTCCCATCGATGTGTTTAGGACTGCAACTGGTCAGTCCTAAACACATCGATGGGAAGATCCAAACAAACAATACTAAGTGAATTCAAACTTCACCCCATCGCACAAGCAAGTGGCTATCAGGACTCAGTGGCCGAGTGGATAACGCGATGGCGTTTGAAGCGAGGGTACTGGGTTCGAGTCCCAGAGTGAACATCAACTCTGAGATGCAGGTACATCCAGCTGACGAGTCCCAAATAGGACGAAACGCGCGTCCTGGATTCCACTGCTAGCCACTATCCATCTCTGCTTACCATGCTTGTGAATTAAGGTATATCGAGGCAATACGCACAGTATGCACATATGCCAATTAGAGACTGACCAGTTGCAGTCCTAAACACATCGATGGGAAGATCCAAACAAACAATACTAAGTGTATCCAACACATTGTTGTCATTAATTGACGATGATCAATTATTCGTAAATGGAGATATTTTACATCAACTTATTTGACATGTATTAAATCAATCAGTATTTAGTAAGGTTATTGATCAATTAAAAAACCCATTTTGTAATTAGATATAACATAAGTAGTTCAATCTCTAAACACAGAAACTTCTGTATAACCCTGTTATGCCTACGGAACATGTTGAATAGTTCAACTTTTGAATGCTGTAACAGATGAAACCACCAAATTTTACCATACCAGGCCAGCGGGACATAGATTGGATTAGGGCATGTTCCGTGCACGATTTTGTTGGTGCACGCTGATTGGTCAATTCCTTTTCAATCAGTGCTAGTCGATGCTTGGAGAAGACTCTAAAATCTTTTCATGTAAAAACTAAATATACTGACGTATTTCTTATTGCGCTTTCCATCTATTCTTGTTATTTGGTATATAACATCTTACCTGTTCAACCGTTTTCTGATTTGGGGACTTGTCGAGTGCATTAGTGTCCAAGAATACTAAGCCATAGGAGTAGCTGGATCGTAATAAGGAGATATATAACAGTTATAACAACCTCATCATCTTCTAAATTTAGGGTATATACTGCTAACAATTGAATTTTCTTTAAACTCTTAACTTCATATGATTATTTTAGGAAAATTGTCATCACTATAAAATACTTATTTCAAGGCTGGAAAGTGGAGCACGAAATTCACGCTGAGTAGATTTTTCACGGTTAATTAATGACAAATATTTGATTATTATCTTAGTGAATATTTTTTTCTAAGAACAATTGTTTGCATTTAAATTAGTCATTTGTTTGTGTTTTTAGTCTTTCAAATCAGTTTCTATCGGTACATAGGATCTCATAGATATACTAAAACAAACGATAGTTTTAAATTCGAGTTGTTACACAAACCGAAGGTCCACATGAATGTAAATTCTGTATCGGGAGTGTGAAACTGCAAAATATTTTAAATTTAGATTCTGTCATCCATTATTTAATAGTAAAATCCATTACACAATCATCAAGACAGTTTATCAATCAAATGTGAATGTGAATGTGAATGTGCACGATCTTCTGCTAGTTCATTGTAATCAAGAACTATTTTTTTCATTATAATACATAATGCTGACTTCAGATTTAAGTTTATCAGTTGCCGTTCAGAATCTTGACCGCCTGTTTATCCTAAAAAAAACGTTTGTTTGCAAGTGAACATCGACCCATCAGTTCTACCTGCCTCAAAATTGAAAGAAAATTGAGTAGTAAGAAGATTAACATGTACTTTTGGGTACTAAACTCTTATGTTTTTATTCTTTAGCAGACTCATACGAAACCGCTTATTCTTCTCGTGTTGTGAAA